GTCTTTTTGAGTTGTTTCACCGCTGACAATGGAATCATTAATTCTGTATTGAAATAACGTAGGGTTCTTTTTGAGTGTAAATGTCATTTTTGCACATTTATTCACGTTAAAATTAAAACCTTTGTACCTACACCAGTCAATAACCCTACTCAAATCTCTCTGCATACACTCACATTCATGCTTACTAGTCTCATTTAAAAACAATTTAAGATCATCAGCATACAACAGTGCATTAGAATTTTCTAGGCTGAGACAAATGTCATTGATAGCTGTAACAAATAACAGTGGTCCCAGATTTGACCCCTGTGGGACACTACAACTGAAGGAATATATTTTGGATAAGTGAGTTAATAATTACACTATGTTTCACTTTATCGAATGCCTTTTCCATGTCAGTATAAATCACATCAACCTGTCCTCTATTGTTCAAAGCATCATGAATATATTGGCAAATGTTTATTAAATTAGAGATGATCGATTTTTTTGGGAGGAATCCTTGCTGGAATTCAACAATGCTGTACTTGACACCATCATATATTCTGCCAAACAACATTATCTCATATAGTTAGCCAAACAACATTATCTCATATAGACTGCACACAGTATTGTAATTGGTCTATAATTGGGTATTTCCTGTTTCAGTCCACTTTTGAATACTGGAATTACCTTGCTCGTCTTCCATGCCTCAGGGTAGCATTCAGACACATAACTCAAATTATACACATATAACAAAGTGAAAATGTTTGATTAATATTCTTCGCTATTCCATCCACAGACGCGTTTCGATCTATCAGATCTCGTCAGTGTGGCCAAAAAAGCAAAGAAAACCAATCCAAGTTTAATGCCTGTAGGCAAGGCAAGTTCAGACAGGCAACACAATCCTTAAGGATAAAGTCTGGAAGCCCATCCGGTCCTATTGCCCTATTACCTTCCAATTTTCTTGCTGCCGTTTCAAGTTCTTCCTCATTAAACAGGAATGTGCAAAAATTGTCTCCCATTTTCACACTTTTACAATCCAGTGTTTCTGTTCTACAAAACACCGAACCGAAATATTCCGCAATACTTTCCGCTCCTGTATACTGCATATTATTATAATAAACCTCTAACGGAAAAGCCGATTCCTTTTTCTGCGATTTTACGTAAGTCCAAAAATACTTAGGATTCTCCAACATGCTTTTACTGACCTTACTTATGTACCTGTTGTATGCATTCTCAATTTCCTTTTTGACTAAGGCTCTTACTTTTTTAAATTTGTTGTACCAATATATTAATTTATGTCTTTTGAACTTTCAAAAGTATGTTTCCTTATTTTTTTATCAATTTTATTATTTCTTGGTTATACCACACATGTATTTTCCTATAAAAAAACTCTCAATGCATCATCAACACTCTTACATTCGTACAGTTCATACCAATCCACATTCTGAAACTTATTGTACATTAATCGTTAATTAGCTTTCTTAAAATTAAACTTTGTTGTTTGAAGTTGTTCACACTCGGTCCATTCATACTCTCTATCGATACTTATGCTAAATGCCGGATGATGTTGGTCCACAGGCAGTGAAGGATCATCATCAGTGCCCACCTGACAGTTCTGTAAACCAGAGCTAACTATATCCAAATCCAACCATACATGATTCGCGTTGCGCACATTGTTTACTTGTACTAGATTCGTAAAAGCTATGAAACTATTAAATTTACACTTGTGCTCATTGACCACCCCCGAAACAAGGTCTGGTAAGTTAAAATCTCCCAAAATAATACAGTCATATTCTACAAAATTATCCTCTATGCAATATTCATTCTGATTATGCGATACAGAAGGTAGAAAAAGAGTTGATTACCAAAGTAAGGAACTTGCAAATGGAGCTTGACAAGCTGAAATATTTTGTGAAACATTTGGAGAGGAATGGAAATGGTGTTAGAGTGAAAAATGATTTAGGAGAAGTTGAAGCAGAAATTGAAAGAAATGAAACATTGATGAGTAGGACAGATTTTATGATGAAGGATCTTATATTCTTACCAGTAACGGAGGATCGTAGTTTAGTAGTAGCTGGTACCCGCTCGACAACTACAACCAACCAACAACTTGGCAAATCAAAAGACAGATGTCTGACATCATCAAATAGGAACCTGGCCAGTTCCAGTGAAATCCATAGAGCCATTCCACTTCGAGAGGATGAAGTTATTAGAGGTTCAGCGAAGGACGAGATTTTGTTATGTGAAGGTTTTCCACGAGGTATTACATTAAAGAAAGATTCTAATGAGGCTCCAGTGAAGGACATGGAATTCGGAAACCAAGATGGTTTTCCAGTGGCTCTGATGGTGATATTACCGCTAATAAGTCAAGTAGCGTGTGAAGCAACTCTACGCAGAGCTTCAAGGGTTGAGACTCAGCCGAGGACTCAGCACATAGTTATCGAACAATGTGTGAACACGTGTTTTGGGTAAAAAGGACAGTGTGGTCCCAGTGAGGTTATTGAATATAACAGAAAAAGAATAATCATCAAAAGTAAATCTGTAATTGCTAGAGCATATGAAACGGAAATTGAGAATGCCAATAAGGAAAAGGAACCTATTCAAATAAGAAGTATTGAACAAAAAGGTGTGAAGGAGACATTGGAGAAACTAAAGTTATAAAATCCAGTTTTACCAGAGAGGAATCCAGCACCAAAATTCTGTTGTAAGTTGTAAATGGTCAGGACCCAGTCGAATGACTGAAAAATTAGGACCAGTTACTTTCAAAACAAAGGAATTGCACAGGAGGAAAAAGAATATTTTACATGCTGAAAGACTCAAACCATGTTAAGGGTTGGAGCATAGGATCATCAATCCTACTCCAGATCACGATGATAGCGAAAGCGATGAAGAGAAAAACAGCGAAGTTTAATCCCGGGGAGAAGACATAGAATTTCCACTAATCCATAGGGAGATCTTAAGAGATGAGAATGAAGAAACTGTCGATCAAGATGAAATTAATGACGTCAATGATGAAAAAAGGACGCAAGAAGATGATGCATTTTTAGCACGAGGACAAGAATTACCCGACAGGCACATAAAGATGGGAGACAGCGATAGCGAAATTGAAGAAAAAAATATAAACCTAGAAAATGAGGAAAGTCTAGAAGGAGCACAAGAAAAAGACGAGGAACACGATCCTGAAGTACCAAGGAGTACGAGGACACGGGACATAAAATGGAAAGCTGTAAAATGTAGAAAAATCAAAGTAACTAGGAATTAACAAAGTCTAGATTGCATAAGGAAGGATGTTAGGATAAAAAGAGAGAAAAAAAAGTGTCAGTGACCAAGAATGGAGTAAGGAATGCCAATATTCTTTAAGTATCTAGCTCTGATTCCTGAGCTAGAGGATCGAGCCAGTTTACTGAATATGGCGAAGGAAGTAGTGCGGCAAATACATATAAATCTAGGGAATCCAGTGAACCTGTCTCCTCATGATTACGGGGAACCCGGGCGTTGGTCCAGCTATGAGTAGAAATGATCGGATTGGAGAAGCTGAATCTCCAAGACAGTCCAAGAAATCCACGCCAGCAGAATTTGCTGGTGTGACCTGTACCGAGGGGAAGCTCTCCACCGGCCGGTACACCTACAAGAGGCTCCCGCCTTTTTCCACCCCAGGAGTTATGGTTTCCCGGATGCCAACTGCTACCAGAATCATGAATATTACTACAGTTTTTTCTCTCATTTGCGATTAGACCTCCTCCCCAATTTTATTAGTAGCTGCCCAAGGAAATAAACACCATCAATAAAACCGCTCGCCATTTACCATCTAACTAATAAAAAGAGTAATTGGGCGCACTGCTACAAGTTCATCTGAAGAGTTATTTAACTTTAGGTATTTTCTAGTCGTTTACAGGACTACTGATGCCAACTTTTCCGTTTCTATTTATTTGTGTATTTCTAATTTTTATTTTTTACTGATATTTGAATGTTTTCTTTTGTGCTGCTCGATTTTCTAAAGGATGAAAAGGAAAAGGTAAATATGTTATTAAACACTATCAGCATAAGTTCTTTGAAGTAAAGTATGGGAAAATTGTAAAATTTACACTTATACAAAAGTGGAATTTATTCAGCCTGAAGTTATAGAGAAAGTCCAGAAAGAATTTCCTTACTCAACTTATATTCTCTTTGGAATTTTTGCAATGAAAGTTCACCACGCTTTTCAGATTATTTTGTCTCTATTTTATTGATTTCACACCCTCGTTAGTGCTTGAGATAAAAGCCTCTCATGCGAATAAACAGACAAGATATTCTTGCGTCAAAGACCTTTCATGACAGGGCCTTAATTTAATTAAAAGGGATGATGAAGTGTAGCAATAATAGGCCTCACAACAGCCCATAGAGAAGGCACGAATGCTCTTGATTTAGGGCGAAGATAAGACACTTTCAAATTAAATCAATAAATATTTTATTTTTTTAATACATTTAGGCCCGGTTTATTTAGCTTCAAATAAAACTTGCTGGTAACTATCTACAAAATAAATTTACCATTCTATAATTCTATTGGTTTTATTGGCATACCTGATAGTTTATCAGAAGTTGAATAAACCGGCCCTTGACAAAATTATATTTTTGTTGTTTTTGGGATAGCATTCAATAATAAATCTTATTATTAAATATGTACTAGACCCAAGCACTTCACTATCGCAGCTTGTTCAAAAAAAAAAGGAAATAAAATATTATCGAGTTTTTACATATTTGCAAAAATGCCTGATAAAACATTAACCAGTGTGCATTCAAATTAAGCACATATTGTGAAGTAGATTAAAATGTGATGAAAAGTTCAATCCTTTTTTTTGTTTGTATGTGTGTATAGATGGGAGTAAGTGTAATATAATGAGAAAGTCGAGGAGAAAGTTGAGTTTTTTAAAATAAAATCAGAATACACCGAATGCTTGAAGCAAAATCAAGGTCTATTGATTTAAAAACAGATATAAAAAAATGTCAAAATAAACTATTGTACATTGTTATTTTGTTTCTAGGAATTTCACAACAGTCCAGTAGTAGCTACTGTAGCTTCTAACTTGGACCATGGTCACATAAATCCGATATCCAACGGCGAATTTACAATTTTTACGCCGTTATCGCCTCCCCATTTTAATAATAACGTCTTCCTTGCCAACGAACAAGTGATTGTAAGTATTTCTGGTGAACTGGCATGATGCTTTTGCTTGCACTCTTATTCAACTTATGCACCATCTACTAAACATTTTAACAATCGTGTAAATTTAACCTCTGGAATATTGTTACTGAAAATCACCAAATTGCAAATAGTTTGGCAATGGTGTATCGTTATTCTTATAATTAAGCGCATCACTCATGCTAAAACAAAGCTGGATATACGCCAAGTCAATTTAAAATGATCTTTTGCTTTATTGTTAAATGCAATGAACTCAAAGTTGGGGTATACAAAAATAAATTAGTGTCTCTTTCTGCTGCAATTTATGATAATTCTTATTTCTTGCTTATCTAACCCCCACATTTCAAATCAATGCATGCATAACTCTACCTAGTTTTTGAATTTTTTTCATTTTTATTTTAGAGAACATCAACGGATGATTATGTGTATGGAGACATTAATGTTAGCCTATGGTTTGGTGAGTATTTTAAATTACTTATAGTTTCCTTAGGGCCTCTAGATTCTAATGCCCGTATGCACCGTTCACTTTATTCTGTTCTTAGTTTCCCTTTCAACTTAAGTTTTAAATTTCGTATGCACCGCCAATTGAATTTGCTCAAATTCTTCTTAAAGTTAAGTCATCGAAATCCTCGACTTAAGAAACAAAAATCTGTCTTTATTGCGATTGTGGGGTTAGGTTAGGACCGGTTGGGTTTGTTATAACATAAAAACTCTATTAAACAAGATTTTCCATCCTTTGTCATACAAAAAAATGGAGTTCTACATGCTAGTTGAAGACGATTTTGATATTTTGAATATTTTCAATTATGGGCCCCAAGAATTTTTTACATTTAATTTTTTTGGAGAAAATTATTTCTAGTCAATGGATGATTCGTCTTTTTTTCGGCGATTCAGGTTGAGAAAACCCACCGTTTTGCAAGTATTGTCTTCTTATTTTCAATTATATCAGCATGTTTGCTTATCCTGGAAATAAACAGTTGTTTTTCGTTTTGTGAAAAATTTAATTCATGCTTTTTTCTATCATTCATATTTGAAACAAGTCTTGCCTTCAAAAAACACCCCGAGAAACACAAAACAAAGAGCGGCCTAGAATATTTCATAGTTCTATAGACACCGACACCAAATAACCAATACACTACAAAATCACCGGAAAGTATAGAGAAACAAATATGTTTATGTCCGATTGACCAATAAAGTGCTATTTATAGAACAGTTTTGCGTCAATAAAGTAGCACTTTATTGTACTAGTAAAATAAAGTGCTACTTTATTTTACTAGTAAAATAAAGGGCTACTTTATTGCCTACCTGGACTACCTGACAAGTTGAAACAGGTCCTGACAACCTGCCAAGGTGAAACAGGTATACACAAATTTTACTTTTTCATTAAATTTTTTTAATTTCTAACAAAAACCAGTCGTAATCGTACATAAAATCATATTTTCAAATTGTCAACCAACGAACTAACCAAAACTGTCGAAGTCAAACTGTATAAAAACCTGTAAAAACTGATAAAAAAACAAAAGTCATCAAGAAATTACAATGTTGCAAATTCTATCAGGTTCTTAGGTAAGAAAACAAAATTTGTTGACGGTGCATACAAAATTATTTCTCAACTTTAAGAATAACTTTGCTTAGCCTTTCCTAACGATAAAACGGTGCATACAGGCATAAGTAAATAATTTCAAAAACTTAATAAAATAACGTTTTATTATCAGATGGACCAGAGAAAGATTTTCCACGTAGCAAACTTAAATACATTAGAGAGATAGGAAAAGGTGCATTTGGAAAGGTAAGCAAATTATAGATTATCTTTTTCAATAAAAACCTAAATATTGGGATCTCACATCAATGTTCTCTCCAGATTGTGGAAGGTGCAGCACAAGACCTAGACTCTAGCAAAACCTGGACTCCTGTCACAGTGAGAATCCTAGACGCTGCCGCTAACCAAAAGGAACGCATTTTGTTCCTAAACGACGCATTATTTTACTTAGCACCACCTCATCCAAATTTATTAAAACTTAAAGGTCGTTGTTTAAGTGCTGCCCCCTTGCTCGTGCTCCAAGAAACTTGCGGTGGTGGTGATTTGAAGCAGAGGCTAAGAAGTTTTGGTAGCGAGGACAAAATTTTGCAGTGGTGCTGTCAGTTGACATCAGGTTTGAAGCACTTACACGATAACGGTTTTATACATCCGGATTTGGCTGCAAGAAATTGCCTCCTCACGGAATCCCTCAATCTTAAAATAGGCGACTACAACCTCGGTCCACACAAATACTCAGAAGACTACTATAGAGGGGGCGAGCCTCCTATTCCCGTGAGATGGAGGTCGCCAGAATCACTAGACTGCACACCGACTACTATACAACCAAGAAAGCTTACCAAAGAGGCCAATGTTTGGTCACTCGCTGTAGTGATGTGGGAAATTTGCGAAAATGGGGCTCAGCCTTATGGATCTTTGAATGATGATGATGTTATTTCTAGAGTGTTTGGAGTGGAATGTTTTCGATTGGATGGACCAAGTAAACCCCAGATGTATTCTGATTATATGTAAGTAACTAAAAAACTACACACAACTTCTGTGAGTGGCTTTTTTCAATTAGTTTTGATTCACACAAGTGGTTTTAATTTGTTTTATCTACAAGCGTTTGGTTATGACATTTTTACATAACCATTTTTCAAGTATTTTTTTTTTTTATTTCTGACCCTTAAACAAGTAACTGATATCAGGGCCTTATAAATACATTTGTTAACTAAATTCTAGTAAGATTATGTTTACTTATTCTAATAATTTAATTCCATTCATTCAATATTATTCAACAAATCAATAAATAATATACTATTAGTTATGCATTCAAGTTTTCTTTTAAGTATTTTTAAAGATTATTTAACATTATGTGAACATTTCTTGCGCTAGCTACATATTCAGGTACAGGGTGTCCCAAATTCGAGGGCGACCATTCAGATATCGGAAACTATAAGAGATACGAGGTCGGTTAAATTATGGCAAAGTTGCGCAATTTTAGGACCACTAAAACGCCGTTTCGAAATTTGAAAAATTCCGAATACCTTCGAAGATATTCGGGAAAAACCGAAATTTTGCAAAATCGATTTTATTTTTTCTTGAGTCCATTGGAAGAGCTATTTGAAAATAAATGTCTCGTCATCATTGTCAATTGTTTCCCTTTACAAGATGTTCCTACCAAATTTCAGATTGAACGTTTCGTCTTTGGGCGGCCATCCTCAACTTTATTTTTTTAAATACGGACCTGGATTTTTTATTCCAGATTTTGAGAGCTTCTGAGTTCTGATGTCCCAAAACCTATGCTTTTTTTGATCATCAAAATTGTCGGATACAAATTGTAGAGATTTTTCAATTTCAGCCAGATTAGACTGTGTGGCTTTCCTAAACGGTTGCAGGAACTCATTTAATAAATCCTTTACAACACTCTTTAGCTTTTTTTCATCTATTTCATGTATTTTTGTTCAATTTTCTGGAAGTTTAACCTCACTTTCGCGCGGTAAACAACAATACACTTTTATTTTCAGAATTTAGAACTTTTCGTTGGCCCGCACAACTAGGATGGAAGCTTAGATTACAGACTTCACAATCGTATGAAAATTTCACAGATTTTTTGCAATGTTTGCATATTTTTTCTTCTTCTTTAACAATGGCACTGCTCCTTTATGGGCAACTTGCCAGCTCATTCGTGGCAGGGTGACTTTGTCTGGCTCTCAGCCATATCAAACCTCGCGAATTGTTTGTAGAGTTCTGCTGTGGAGTAAAAGAACCGCCACCGGGGATGGTTACCCGATCTTGGTTGATATGAGTATTGAATTGCTGTCTATTACTAGTTTTAAGGGGTGAGATGTTAACAAAGAATTCAACATAGGATACATACAATTGACATGGACAGCAGTCGATATTAGCTTGCTGAAAAAAGAAAGAAGACACTTGTTTCATAACTTTATTTTATTGTAGACAAGGAATTTCATCAGTATTCTGATTCTTGTTTCTGAGAGTTTCGATAGAATAGGAGACATATTTAAAGGGGGTTGAAGACCCGTTAAGACCATCTCCTGATAAATATCAAAAATGGGAATGAAATTAATGGGACACTCTAGGAAAATATGATCCAACGACTCTTCCCAACCGCATTCGCAGTTCGGCTCCTCTTTGATGTTAATTTTGTAGAGGTGAGATGATGTCAAACAATGATCCGTGCACATTCTTATCATAGTTGTGATATATTTACGATTCACAAAATCGAACGCCGTGAACCATTTCTTCTTGGGGAAGGAAGACCCTATTCTTGAATAAAAAATACCTTTAAATTTCAGTGAAGATTGCTATAGCACATTGTTCTCCTCAATAATTTTTTCCTTGGCAATGCTTACTACCTCTGATCTGTCTAGGTCCATTTTCAATGGGACATTTAGGCCTGTGCCTATTTTGGCCAATTTGTCCACAGTCTCGTTACCCTCAATTTGTGAGTATCCAGGCCACATATATATTTGAGCCATTGTCATTGGCTATCAGAATTAGTCTTTTAGTTTTTCAAGTTATCCCTACATGGGTCTTAAGTCATTCTTGTCAATTTTCCCTATGGCTCCTCGGGAGTCTGAGAAGATGATAACATTTTTGATGGCCTTTTTTAAAACCACCTTCAATGCTTCATATATAGCAGTCACCTCCGCAGTACAAATGCAAAGTTTATTCGGGAGTCGGCATGAAAAATTATAATCAATTTGGGGAATGTGTATCCCAAATCCAACCCCAGAGTTATTTTTTGAAGCGTCTGTGTATACAAAGATATGAGTATTTTTAAAAGCGGAGGTAGAAGCTAGGAAATTTTTGTTTTGAGAAATTTCACTTTTTTTTTAGATTTAGGTTAATTATTTTTATCGGGTTTATCAAAAAGTCAGTCTTTATTTCAAATATGGGGTAATGGTTTGATCTATATATTGTATTAAAATGAGGAAGGAGATAATTATATGCTTGTATTAGGTATGGTAATTCTCTATTTTTCCAGAAATTCGCATTTCTGGCACATGAGTTTCTTAGTTGTTGAATTGTACGAACTAAAGGGTGATCATTTATAACTATGATTTTGCTCAAAAATTTAACAGCAAGGATTTTTCTGCGGTGTTCTAAATTTATTTCTGCAGCTTCCGCTAGAAGTGCGTTTGTAGGAGTGGATCGCATGTAACTGAAAGCTATTCTCAAACTTTGCATCTGAGCTGTATCCAATTTTTTAAAAAGGCAATACTACAGGGTTTAATAAAAATTGAGGCATCTAAATGAGATTTAATAAGAACATTTTGGACCATTAGTAGTATATTGTTGTATTAGGAGTAGAAGCTTAACTTTTTTGTGCTGAAGCAGTAGGTGATACTGCTGAAGCACAAAAAAGTGCTTCTACTCCGTATGCAACACACTATTTTTTCTCCAAACGAATGGAGTAAGCTCGGGGGTAACTGAATGGTTGAGCGGCAGTAAAAGTACGAGCGGCACTAAAAGTACTTTTGCTGCCGCTGGGGTTGCCAAGCAGCATAGAAATTGAATTTCTACCACCTCGACAGGTGTTAACCTGCTGGATTTGCCTACCAGCATAGAAATTAAATTTCTGACATCTTGGCAGGGGTTAACAAAGTGACGTTTTTTTGACGTTTGGAGAAAATGGTATATTGTTGTATTAGGAGTAGAAGCTTCACTTTTTTGTGCTGAAGCAGTAGGTTTGCGAGCCGAACGTAGTGAGGCTTGCAATACTGCTGAAGCACAAAAAAGTGCTTCTACTCCGTATGCAACACGCTATTTTTTCTCCAAGCGAATGGAGTAAGCTCGGGGGTAACTGGATGGTTAAGCGACAGTAAAAGTACGAGCGGCACTAAAAGTACTTTTGCTGCCGCTCCAGCGGCACTAAAAGTACTTCTACTACCGGTGCGGTTGCCTAGCAGCATAGAAATTAAATCTCTACCACCTCGACAGGTGCTAACCTGCTGGATTTGCCTAGCAGCATAAAAATTAAGTTTCTGACACCTTGACAGGCGTTAGCAAAGTGATGTTTTTTTGACGTTTGGAGAAATAGTATATTGTTGTATTAGGAGTAGAAGCTTTACTTTTTTGTGCTGAGGCAGTGGGTTTGCGAGCCGGACGTAGTGAGGCTTGCAATACTGCTGAAGCACAAAAAAGTGCTTCTACTCCGTATGCAACACGCTATTTTTTCTCCAAACGAATGGGGTAAGCTCGGGGGTAACTGAATGGTTAAGCGGCAGTAAAAGTACGAGCGGCACTAAAAGTACTTTTGCTGCCGCTTCAGCGGCACTAAAAGTACTTCTACTGCCGCTGCGGTTGCCTAGCAGCATAGAAATTAAATTTCTAATACCTCGACAGGTGTTAACCCGCTGGAATTGCCTACCAGCATAGAAATTAAATTTCTAACATCTTGACAGGTGCTGACAAAGTGACGTTTTTTAGACGTTTGGAGAAAAAAAAAGTTTTGGGTTCTGCTCCCCACTATACTCTGCAAAAGGCTTTCATTATATTAATACCTTTTTGGATTTTTGCGATCAAATACTTTATCTGATTTGACAAATGTCAAAGGTAAACCTGTACAGGTAAAATGAAGGTAGACAACTACTAATAAACGAAAATAATTGAAAAAACATTCCTATTTTTAGCTTTGTAGATAAAACGTTGTACATTTAAACATGACTACAAAACTCGGTCTACGATCTCGTCGTTCTAATCTTTCACACTCGTTATTATAATCATGTTCATAAACGCACTTGTAATGTAAATAACTATTATTTGTTCATTTCCAGTTTCCGTCTAATTAAAATGTGTTGGAACAACGCCGAATCCCGTCCTAAAGTCGACCAAATCGACATCATGCTGTCCGATTTGTATCAAGTCCACAAAAACACACACAGTGAACCGTTAAATGCCACTGAAGATTTTGACAGCCGCTGGAAGGCATCCAAACCAAACACAATCGTTAAAACCGATAACCATAGTGTAAGCATCGATATAGACAGTGTTGAAGATCTAAAACTTATAGTGCCAAGTCCTAAGCCCATAAACTTCAAACTGGGGCCTTCGTTTTTGAGTGCAAACGATGATTCTCTAGCGCAAGCTGACAGTTTAACTGATAGTATGATTTACAAGCAACAAATAAGCAGCGAAAGTGATACTGAAGAAGAAAATTGGAGGCGTAAAGTTGAAAGAGGGGCCTACAGTGAAAAGGTCCGGTTAAAGTCCCGTTCAGTTGCGGATTTAATGGTTTTAACTCATGTAGATTATTCGGAGTCCGAATCGGAAACTCCTATGCCAAGTCTTGATTATAAACTAAACAATAGATCTTTGAAAAAATCAAATTTGGAAAATTCCAATTTGAATTTCAGTAGCGAAGGCAACTTATTTAGCCTTGAAGATAATTTTGAAAAGGAGTTGAAAAAGCTACAAGTTGAGAGAAGAGATAGCTTACTTTTTGTACCTGATGGGAACAAAAGTCAAAATAATTCAAATTTAAGTTTACTTCGTGAACTCAATAGTCCAACAGAAATCAAACCTATGAATCAAATTTATAATATTTTCAATGTGAGTATAGAATCCACAAAAATTGATAGTGAAGATACCAGATTGTTCAGCAGGCAAGACAGTGAGAATAAAAGCGACTTGGGCTATGCAACGTTGCATAATAGTGAGAGAAATAGTGATTTTGGAAGTGTCGATGGCGAACAATTGTTGGACGACAAAACTGTGATTATTGAAGAAAGGCTGAAGAATTCCAAACAAAATTTACCAGACATTTTGGCTAGCTTAGAGGAACACAGCCGGGGGAATATTGATTTATTGGAACCAAATTTGTCACAGCAAAATTTAAGTGATGATGATGAAACAATTTCAGATAGTAGAAGAGAATCTACTTTAGTCCAAGAATCAAAAAATCAAGATTTAATTTTTAGTGATAAAAATCATGAATCTCAAATTGTACCTGAATTTAGTGATAGTAATAATGCATTTTTAGATGAAAATGAAGCAAAAACCGAATTTTTCGTGGATAATTTATTGCCTGAAATCAAACAGAGCTTTATAAAAGGTCCTAATATTTTAGAAAGTAGAAACTGTACCAGTAACAAACAAAATTTAATGGAAGTTGCCCCAAATGTCGAATTAAATGCATTTTTGAATGCAGAAAGAAGTAATGCCTTGCCAAAAATTCCTCAAACATATGAAGCCAATTTTGTTGATGATAACGAACATTTGAATGAGACAAATATATTTACAGATTTGAAAAATGCAGAAACAGATAAGGAGCCAGTAATTTCTGTTGATATTGAAGAAGTTGAGGAGAATCAGGTTTCAACTATTCCAGAAAATGATAAACCTCAAGTATGTATTGAAACTGAAAAGGAGGGTTTATTGAATGGAGTGAGAGAAGTCGAAGAAACTGATACCAAAACGGAACAAGATTTATCAGCTAATGAGGATTTGATAAGTGTTAAAATAGAAGCTGAAAAAGAATGTGCCAAAACTAAGGAAGAAGTTGAACATATATCTAAGTCAAACTCTAGTAATGCAGGGAGAGTTGTCGCTGAGGAAGAAATTTCAAGCACCAAGGACTCAATAAATGAAAAAATAGCAGAAACTGATAATGAAAATTCTCCAGATAACTCTGAAGTTGAAAAAATATGTTTCTTTGCTTTTGTAGAAAAACCTTCTCTAATCGATGAAAGTATCGCAGAAACCAAAATTTCAGTTGAAACTAAAGATTTGCAAGACGAATCATTTTCAAACAATGCTGATTTATCATATAATGAAGTAGAAAACAAGGAAGAAGCTTCTTCAAGTGATGGAAAGCCATCAGAAAAAATATTTGGGAAAACCTTAGTAGACGCAAGTGTTTCTCTAAGCAACTCAGGTGCTACTAAAGAAGAACATTCAATAAATAAACTAGAAAGGATACCAGTTGAAACTATTGAAGAAGCTGAAAATAAAAATTCTCCATCCATCTCTGAAAATGAGAAAATAAATATTTTACTTCTTTCTGAAGAAAAGGATTTGCCAGTTGATGCAAAAATAGCAGTTGATACTGAAAATATGCAAAACAATTCTGTTTTAACAGATAATGAAACAGAAATCAAGGAGGAAGTTTCTTCAAGTAATGAAGAGCCAGAAGCCAAAGCAGAAATAGAAGAAAGTGTTGCTTCAAGCAATTCTGAAATTGATGAAGTAAGTGAAAAACCATTAAAAGACGAGAGCTTAATAAATGAAGAACTAGCAGTTAACACTGTTGCAACTTCTGAATTCAACTCTGAAATCGAAAACGTAAAAATATCACTTCCTCCTGAAGAAAAAACATTTCTAAATGATGCTGAAGAAGCAAAAACATCAGCTGAAATTGAAGATGTTCAAGCCAAATTGGTTCCAAGCAAAACGGATTCAACCAATAATGAAGTAGATTGCCAGGAACAAGCTTCCTCGTTTAATGAAAAGCTATTTTCGCAGACTGAAACAGTTAAAGAAGAAGGTGATTTCTCAACCAATCCTGAAGTTGATAAAATGAATATATTACTTCCTCCTGAAGAAAATACCTTTCTAATCGATGCTGAAAAAGCAAAAATAGTGGTTGAAATTGAAGATTTGCAATACAAATCGGTTTCAAGCAAAACTGGTTCAACCAATAATGAAATAGATTGCCAGGAAAATGCTTCCTCATGTAATGAAAAGCTAGAAAAAATATTTTTGCAGACTGAAACAGTTAAAGAAGAAGGTGATTTCCCAACCAATCCTGCGGTTGATAAAATGAATCTATTACTTCCTCCTGAAGAAAATACCTTCCTAATCGATGCTGGAGAAGCAAAAATATGGGTTGAAATTGAAAATTTGCAAGACAAATCGGTTTCAAGCAACACTGGTTCAGCCAATAATGAAGAAGAAATTAAAGCATGCAACCTTCAACATACGGAATCAATTGAAACTGAAAAAAATACTCCACCAAAAGTCACTTTCGATTTGAGCACAAACCAACAAGAAATCATGCCAAATTCTTTAACCCACAACACAGTTTTCACAAGCACTCCGTTTGGAAAGAAACCAGAATTATCCCTACCTCCAGAAAATGCTTATTCAAGCCTCAATTTATTCAAATCTGAAAATGACGAAAACGATGAAATGTTTTCTTCGCAATTTATGCCATTGGATCAGTGTGAATTGACAGAGGATAATGAAGCGAGTAAATTAAATTATTCCTTGGAAACCTGGGATAATTTTCTGGGCAAATCATTCGATTCCAGCAGAGATAATAATGAAAATATGTTTGATAGTTTTACATCGGAGCCTCAGAGTATGCTGTTCCTTGAAGGCGATCAAAAACTTAATGATAAAAATGAGACGTTTAATCTTCAAGATGGAACGTTTGTCTTAGAAGACAAAAAGGATGGAACTTTTGTGAAGGAAGATAAGAAAGATGGAACGTTTGTGATCGAGGATAAGAAGGATGGTACATTTGTGATGGAGAAGGGTGAAGAAAACGCGGAAGGTAAGTGATTGTGATTATGGGGCAAATTTATCCAAAAATATTATTTTCTAGAAAATCAAGCCAGTGGACAATGGGAATCGAGTGGTGGATGGTTTTTGCATCCACAATCAAGCAATGATAAATTATCGGGTGATATTGTTCCACAACCCAGCACAAGCAAAGGTAATTTTTTGTAATTTTATTAATCTGGATTTTACAAATATTTACTTGTAGGTAGCTACATAGGATTTGGCATGGATGATGAAATAATGACAGCCATAAGAAATGAGCTCTTGGAGAAACTGCCACATGCACAGGTACAGGTAATAAATAATTAAGCTCGACAATCAAATTGTTTTTATGAAACTAAGCTGAACATCTTTACATTATTATCAATTTTGTAGGGTGCTTCTTCTCAAGAAAGCGTGAAAGAAGAGGAGGAATGGAACCAAACTGAGAGAAATGAAGTATTTTTGCGGTACAATGTATACAACACTCCTCTATCTCCTATACCAGAAGAATGTAGTTTTGATGTAGAAAATGGGGATGAAATGGTCGATACCAGCGAAAATACACCAAAGTAAGTTTAGTGAACTTAAATGCATTTTTCTTGGAAAGTGATGCAACATCACTTGAAAAGAAAACTATATAGGTAGCTCAAAAATCATGTTTTCTGATTCATTTTTCCTGCTTCTTATAGGAAATCATATAATCGGCGCCAAGCACAAACCTTAGAAGCTTGTATTAGCCAATAATAATGCTTGTGTAAATAGTTTTGCATTTTATTTAAGCTTTATTTTAATTTATTAATATTCTCACTCTTGTTTTAATTGTTTGCTTTTGCTTTTTTGTTATACATTTTAATTTGTATTATCTTATGTACTTACATTTTTGCTTGTATGTAGTAATATATTGTTTTATTTTTTAATCAGGTTAGGGATGCATTTTCATTTTCATACTAACTCTGCTTAACCTCATTATGCTACTAGTGGTGGAAATAATATAATTCTTTATTCTCATAATCCTAACACATGTTTCACATCCCTTCCAATCAACCTCAATTATATAATAAACTGCTGGACAATTGCTCTCGAACAGAAGAAAAATTTTGCCTAGTTTTCAAGATCGATATTTTTGAAACCAAAACATGAACCTCTGGTTTCCATACACATTTTTTTTCACAAAAAGTCAATCTATTGGCCCGTGAAAATTGGAGGTCAATATTTGGTCTGGTTCCAAAAATATTGAGCTTGAAAGTTAGGCGAAATTTTTCTTCGGTTCAAAAGCAATTGTCCAGCAGTTCATTTTTTCAACTAACCCAAACTAACTTGAAAAGCTAAATTGTGTCATAGGCTTATTTCATAGTCCAGCTTTTTCCAAATGGCTGTAGGACAATAATATTTCTTGAATGTAATAAATAGGAACTCTTGTCAAAAAGATCATAATGAAGCAAAAAAAAAGTGTTAGTAGGATCAATCTAACTAGTTTATAAACTGGTTCAAACTAAATTATTCCCAAAATCGATGTCCTTTTGAATTTGAACCACCCCACAGATATATGAAATAACTTATTTGTTTTTTAAGTTGAAGTAGTTCAAAAGAATCAATATTAACCCAACCAACTCAACTTCTCTAGAGATACACTAAAAATGATTCACAAAATCTGAATAATTTTTTTCTTGTAGATACAATGAAAGCGATAGTGATTGGTCAGATCAAGACGACTTGGAACCACCACCATTATCATCTCAAACAATTGATAGTCCCCAGAAAATGCCCAGTAAAGGACACACGGCTAGTCAAAGTTCGTGCTGTTCAAATGACACTCTTTTCAATTTCGACGACTTTGCGCCAAACAATGAAAAAGAGATACACGAACCATCTGAAACTTATGACGTTTTCGTAGAAGAAATTAAGGAATTATCTCAATCAGATAAAAACAGTATTGTAAAAGACACTGACGATAAAACTGAATCTGAATTCCATACTTGTAGCGACAATTATGAGGAAGTTACTGATACTATAATACCAGACATAGACAATGATAAGAACAGTGGAAATGTTCCATCACCTGATCTCTGTACAGATAAATTATCTTTAGATGAGTTTTTAATTAGTGAAAGAAATCATACTTTGTCTGGTTGTAGTTCATTGCCATTCAGTACAAAAGCAATTGCCCCACTACCATCACCAGAAGACAAACCGTGGAAATCACTGCCAGCTTCTTTACTTACATACGATAAACTTCAAGGCCCGTCCTTAACAATCGATAATGAACTTATGACTAGTGAAATTACTGACAAACAAGTGATGGCAGTACTTGAGACTATAAGTAGCGATTCTTCCAGTTCAGAAGGCAAACAAGTTGGCAAAGAAACGGTAACATATGAGAATATGCTTGTTGACGCTGGCAAAGATATTAATTGTAAAGAATCTGCTACATATGAAAATGTTGGCATAGAAGAATCCCCCACATATGAAAAAATCCTAAACAATAAAGATTATGAAAATATTCCAAATCAAAAAACGCCATTATACGAAAACGAGGACTATGTAAATATTGGAAACCTTGACCAAACAAAAGATATTTTCATAAACGATAAAGAAGCTGATTATATCAATACTATTGATGAAAATACTCCTGGAGAGGATCGAGATATTTTTGGTGTTTTGACTGATATTAGATTTAGTGGACCAATTGATAGTCAGTTGATGTCGACTTCTTTTAGTGAAAGCAACGATGTTGACGAACAAGATTGGGACAGCGGCTCTGATACAAGGTCGAGTTCAAGTGGAGAATTTATTTGGAAGGTAAGAATTTCTCTATGTTGATTTTTATGTAATTAATATGTATGTCTGTTCCCTTATGTAACCATTTGTGTTGTAATGTGTGTAATTTCGTTCAGGAGGGGGAGCATGAAGAGTCTCTCAAGGCGCTGAGAGCTGCCCCACAAGACATGGTGAGTATGGAAAAATTTTATGTCACTAATGAACTTTATGTAAATAAAATCTGTTAACTTGATAAAGGATTTTCAACAATAATTAAAGTTTAAATTGTGAATAATTGAAAATACTATCTTCTGTTATTTGAAGAAATTAGATGCTTTAAATGTTATTTCCTATAGTCTCTTTTAATTTTTTCAAGCTGGAAGATGTCAAGCCGATGGAAGAAATAGCCGAAGAAATAACAGAAAGTGATGTCACTTCCGGTACTAGCGATGAAGAAGGTGAAAATTTGGAATTTGTGCCGTCTGCTTGGGACAAATTTGCCACCCCCACCAAATCAGCTTTACGATCGCCAGAAAAGAGTTTGGATAGATCAGATTCGGTACGTTTGATATGGGGTGTTTCTAAATAGTGGGATCAAACTTCTAAAACATTGAAAATTTTACAAAAATGACACTGAGACGGTTTTTGCCTCACAGCTCCGTTAATTTCCTTTCTATTGCAACGTAATTATGCTCTTATTAAAGCCAATTGAATTCTTTACAAACTTATTGAATAATATTTTAATTTGGTTTCAAAAGTTTTGTACCTGAGGAGTTTCAAAAATGAATTTATCGAACATTGAAAATTTGCCAAAAATGACATAGTGACAGTTTTTGCCTCAAAGCTCCTTTAATTTCCATCCAACTTCACCGCAATTGGGCTCTTCTCAAAGCCAATTAAATTCTCAACATACCTATTAATATATCTATGGTGGGTGAGCTAACGAGTACAAGTCAAAATTTTGCGAAAATGAGTTTAAGTCATTTTGGTATATATTTTCGGTTCCTACATCGACTGGTCCAAACAGTATCAGTCAATCTATTTGAAATACTTTACTTTTAATTTCAATCCACATAGTTTAACTTAAAAGGAATTTTATTCTGTTGGGCATATCAGTATAAGTTGAATTGTACTATTTAGATTATACACTATTAATAAAATTCAAATAGTACAAGTAGACTTATACTATTCCTATCCTGATTTTGTCGGTCGACTTATACTCTTAGTACCATTTGGTGATCAAAGAGGTTATGTTATCAGCAAAAAAAAAGTGTTTTGTGAAAAAGAGTTGGCCTTCTTTTCCAGTTTTTGCAAATATCAAATTTTGGGTTGAGCAAAACTAGTATAAGTCATTTCTTAGGTCAGGTCAAGATATTATAAGTCATATTATCTTATTTCATAATAATATATGTCATCTATAGGTCTGGTCAAAAGAGTATAAGTCCATTTTTTTTGTAATAAAAAAAAACAGAACAAAAAAAAAATAAAAAAATAGATTATCTCTAATAAAAAAACACCTTTGTAAAGTTAAAAATTCGATTCGTCCGAAACAGCCACAAAAAATCCGATTATTTTAAAGTCTAATATTTCGAAAGCATTTTTCTTGATTTGTCTAATTTTGACTTGTACTCTTTAGCCTACTCACCATAGATATATACATGTAGTTTTAGAACGTCTTCCTTCGTTGTCCGACACCTAATTTCCATCCTCTTCTATCGTCGCAATCCTCTGATGAGAGATTTCTTTCACTCATGGACTTTTGTATGGTCTTCTGCCATTCCAGTTTTGGTCTTCCTCGTTTTCTTCTACCTGTTGGTTGCCAGTGCAGCATTTTTCTGGGCCACCTGTCATTTGGTATTCGTTCTACGTGTCCGTACCAGGTAAGTTGTTTCTTTTCAATGTCCTGGACTATCTACCTTCTATACCCATTTGTTGTTTTATATTGTCGTTCCTTATTCTGTCTCTTCGTGAGATTCGCATGGATCTTCTAATAGCATCCATTTCAACTGCTTCCACTTTTTTCTTTTGTCTGTCTGCAATTCTCCAAGTCTCGGCTCCATATAGAAGGCTGCTCTTTATCATTGTCTCGTACATATTAAATTTTCTCTTCTTTGTAATTTCCTTGCTCCATAATATTCCATTTAGGCATCCCATTACTTTTTTAGCTTTAACTATTCGCTTTTCTATTTCTTTCACGTCTGTTCCGGTGTTGTCGAATGTGATACCTAGATATTCATATTCTTGACATTGCAGAATTTCCTGACCATCGTCCACTTCCAAGTTTCCGTTCTGGTTGTCTACACATAGATATTTTGTTTTATTTATATTAACTCTCAGGCCCCATTCTTGATACTCTTCTATCAGCTTTCTAATCATATATTGCATGTCCTCTTTGTCACTGGCCACTATGACCTGATCATCTGCAAACTGAAGAGTAAACAGGCACCTATCATTTATCTCTATACCCATTCCATGGATCTTCCTTTTCCAATTTTTCAGTGCTACTGCTACGTATATTTTTAAAAGCGTAGGAGAGATACAACATCCTTGACGTAGTCCTTTATTTACTATAAATATGTCTGTGAGTTTTTTACCTATCTTAATTCTTGATTTTGAGTCTTTATATAGTTCTTTAAGTGCCGTTATGTAGGTGTGATTGATGTTTGTGTTCTAATACCTTCCATAGTCTGGATACTGGGACTGTATCGTATGCTTTTTTTAGGTCAACAAATGTGAGGTGGGTTTCCAAATATCTAGCAGATCTCTTTTCTATGGCTTGTTTTAGGCAAAATACGTTGTCCGTGCCTGATCTTCCTGCTCTAAAGCCGCACTGCTCTTCTTCTTGCTCTTTATAATCTTCTTCAATGAGATCACGCAGGATTCTACCGTATAGTCTGCTGTGTGCTTGTAACTGATATGCCCCGATAGTTATTGCAATCCAGCTTATTTCCTTTTTTGTGAATGAATGATATAAAAGCCATTTTTCAGTCTTGTGGAACAGGATGTCCATTTAGGCATTTATTGTAATACATGTGAGACCTTTAAAGAGCTTCTCAGTTCCCCATTTCAGCATTTCTGAGTATATCCCTTCTGGGCCGCTAGCTTTACCTGACTTAAGATTCTTAACAGTCTTTTTTACTGTTTCTTCAGATATCTCAACTACTTCTCGATGTACTTCAATATGTCTTGGAGAATATAATATACCGGGTGACAACGAAATCGTTATACAAGGCGTCATTCAGTTATCTTTGAATTTAAAAATTTGAAAATCGGGCTTTAAAGACAACTGAATGCAGCCTTGTATAACGATTTCGTTGTCACCCGGTATATTCCGGTCTACTTTCTTGTAATAGACCCTTGTAATGTTCTACCCATTGCTCTGGTTTAATAATCTGGATATTAGCTCTGTCTTTTCCTGGGTTTTTGACATTTGATATAAATCTCCATACCTCTGAGCATTTCCTTCCTCCTATGTAGGTGTTAATTTCTTCACATTTCTTATCCCATGACTCGTTCTTAGCTATAGTGATGCACGTTCTTAGTTGTCTTTTTGTGTCTTTATAAACTTCAAGGTCTTGTTCATTTTTTGTTGTTAGCCATTTCAGATATTTTTGCTTCTTCTGTTGGACTAATAGCTCTATCTCCTTGTTCCACCAGTATTTCTTGTTGGTATTTTTTTCCTTCGTTCCTATTGCTTCTTGGGTGGCTTCTATTAGACTGACAGTAGAATTAGTCCAGGAGATTATTATGCATTATTTTTGTCCCAGATACTTTTGGTGACGATGGTACATTCTTCAGGGTTCAATAGTTTGCTATCGAGTCGCCTCTAATATAGAAATACAGTGCTGTCATCTCTAAAACTGTCAAAATTATAATTTGTTGTATCCACTGTGTCCGTTAGTATGGCATTGCTGTTTTGTTCCTCTGGGTTCTTGTTCGTTTTCCTAAATTGCAACTTTATTTTGGCTTTTACTAAAAAATGATCTGACCCGCAAGTTATTCCTCTTAGGACTCTTACATCGTTTATCTCTATGTTTGTTTTTTTGTTTGCTTATCACCACAGCTTATCACATAGTCAATAATAGTTTTCAGGTTACAGGTATTCTGTATCCATGTATAGCGGTGAATATCTTTGTGTTTGAAAAATCCATTATTTATTCTAAGATTGTGGGTCTCACAGAGATGTATGAGCCTTTGGCCATTGTCATTGATTATTTCTTCTCCAAATGGTCCCACAACTGAGCTATTGTTCGTTTTTCCCGTTCTTCCATTGAAATCCCCTAGCATTATGATTTCTCTATTTCTTCCAATATCTACTAAGACTTCATCCAATTTGTCAAAGAACTCCTGCTTAATGCCGACTCTTTCGTCCTCTGATGGAGCGTAGGCTACTATAATGGTGATGTTATAGCCACGTAGTTTCAAGTTGACCGTTAGGATATTTTCATCTACAGCTTCCCAGTTGTTAATTTTGTTTTTCCAGTCTTTCCTTATCAATATGGATACCCCTCTAGCTGCTCTCATTTCCTTTGACACTCTAGTAAAAAGGTGGATATATTCTCCAACATTTTCGGTGCCATTTCCTTTTTTCTTAGTTTCGGTTAGTGCTACTAATTCGATGTTCAATTTCTGAATTTCTGATGCAATGATATCCGTTTTCAGTCTAATACCCTGCACATTCCACGTAGCGAGATTCATAGTCCATTTTCTTTGCCGTGTTCGTCGCCTTGGTGATCCGTCCAATGTTCCGAGGCTTTGCTTAGGTTTTTTGGTAGTTTTGTATTTTTCCGAGTATTAGAGAACCAGTCTAATGCTTCAACCCCCATCCTGGAGGACCGGGTCAGTTTTTGTTTCATGGTGGGTATTTTATTTTCCCACTACCCTCTGAATCTGTTGGATTACAGACCCAGCGAGCTTCCCCTAATTCCCATAGGGACGCACCCGATGGAGGTAACTGACAAATACCCACATGGGGATTAATTAAGATTTTAATTTGGTTTCAACAGTTTTGTGCCTGAGGTCAAGGAGCTTCAAAATTGAATTTATCAAACATTGAAAATTTGCGAAAAATGGCATTGAGGCAGTTTTTGCCTAAAAGCTTTGTTAATTTTCATCCGATTTCAATGTAATGAAGCTCTAATTAAAGCCAATTGAATTCTCTTCAAACTTTTCAATGAAGATTTTAATTTAATTGTAACAATTTTGCAGCTGAGAAGTTTCAAAATTGAAATTATCAAACATTGAAAATTTGCCAAAAATGACAATTGAGGCAGTTTTTTCTTTGTTAATTTTCATCCGATTTCAATGTTATGAATCTCTAATTGAAGCCAATTAATTTCTCTACAAACCTGTCAATTAAGATTTCAATTTAGTTCAACAGTTTTGCAGCTAAGAAGCGCCAATCAAAATTAGGTGATAGTAGCAATATACAGAGAACGCGGGAACTTCCGTTGCAAATGGGTATAGGTCTGGCTATACATAAAAAGACCCGCAGTAAAGCAGCAGTAAATATTCTAGCAAAACTTGGGTTATCTGTTGATTACACAAAAGTTTGAACGC